AAAAAAAAAAAAACATCAAGTTCACCAAAAATTCCCCTTCCTAACACACACACCAGACCATAAAACAACCAGAACAGAGCGAACCTCGAACAACAGGCAACACGAAAACAAAAACGAGGTATCTACAAATACGGTCACACCAAAAACCCTCAGAGCTGCACGTCCCTACCGTAAATCCAGCTGAACGGGATCCTCGGGCCTTGCTTGGCCCGGCCCGCAGCCCTCTCCTCCAGTCTCCTAATCCTCTGCGGCAGCCCACACACGTACTCCTGGGCCTTTCTCCCCTCCCCAGACAGGCCCATCAGGCCCGCCACCTTCCACCGGCCCACCAGGTGCTCGAGGATGTCAGCATAGTCCCTAGCAGTGTATACACCGAGTCGCTGGGCCACGGCAGAGAAGTGCTCGAACAGGCTGTCGTCAAGCCCGTCATACATAAGGTGGGCCGGCATTGAAATCTTTTTTCGCATCATGTCGGCAAATGCTAGCACAGTCCCGTCTGGGTCCACTTCGAAAAGCTTGTCGACAATTTTGGTGTATGCAGTTTCGTGTCGCTTCTCGTCTGAGGCGATGGTCCCACAGATTTGGGCCAGCTTGAGGTCTCCATGGGCCCGGGCTAGACGGGCCGTGTTTCCATGGGAGATGAATGTGGCCCGTTCCTGGAAAGACGTGTAAATGAAGCCCAGGTAAGGGCTGTTCTCTGTCCTTGGGTCCTGGGAAGTTAACGAAGAAGAAAAGTCGAACGGACAAATTCAGAAAAAGTCGAACAGTCAAAACTTGAGGTGAAAGAGAAAATCATTTGAATATTTTGGGAATTTTAACTAGTTGATTGATTGAGTGGTTTGGTGAATTTTTTTTAAAAAAAAAAAACTACATTACTTAGCTGCCTATTTTCTCCCAACAAGCACTGCAAGTCTTCACCTCATTCTTTTAGGAAAACTCATCTACTAGTCAGTAATCATCACACTACACATTTCCCCCATAAGTAAATCTATTCACTCATCAACATAACATTAACTACCAATAATATTCAATCATATTAAATATTCAAGCATTATACTCCCACTAATATTCTATTCACAATCCAAAAGTTTTTCATACCACCCTCTAACTAAAGAACAAAAACTTCAAGAACTTGCAAAATAAATCATATCCAACCACACCCTTATGGTGTGTTTGTTTATAAATTTATCCAATTCATACTCAGTTCATACTCAAAATCTGACGCAACTTTAATCAACTCAACTATCTTCAATATTACTAATATAATTAGATAATACCAAACAATCATTCTTACACATGACATCAATTTTAATTCACTATTGATCCGATCGCATAATTTTAACTAACCATTACTTCACATCATCTCTCTCCTACTTTTATATTAAATCAACTTTAATTATTTTATTTTAAATATTTAGTATAACCTCAAAATCCAATAACAACTAATCATACCAACTTTTTCAAAATTAAATCTGGTTAACCAAAAAAACTCATTTTGAGCAGATATATTTATATACAAGCACGCAATTAACATTTTGATGATACGATCAAATGCAGACATGACAAACACAACTATATTTATAATTAGTGCCTATAAAATATCCCATAAAAATGCACTCACCATTCCTGAACCAATCAAATACTGAATAGTCTTCTCTATTTGCCTCATGTCAACCCGTCCACAAAGGTAGAGATACTTATTCAGAAGGTCCCCGTGCCGATTTTCCTCAGCCGTCCAAGCCCTCGTCCAAATAGCCCAAGGAGTTGGGCTAGCTCCCGTTTCATCTCGAACGCCATCCAAAGTATTAAGCATCGTCTGGTAAGTCGGGAGGGCTTCCTCAGTGATCATATCACCAACTAAAACAACAAAATAATCATCGGGAATCTCCTTGGCTCTTTCCCTCAGTTCCCTGACCTGATCATGAAAATTGGCCAACAAAAGAAAATTTTGAAAAGGCAAAAAATGTCTTTCTATTCTAAGTGGAATCTTCATCAAAATAATGCATATATGATCAGATAGATCTCATATGTAGTTAAATTAAGAATCTCCTTGGCCCCTTTCCCTTCGTTCAATCGTCAAAATTGACCAACAGAAGAAAATTTCAAATTAACAAGGCAAAAAATGCCTTTCTATTCTAAGTGGAATCTTCATCAAAATAATGCATATATGATCAGATAGATCTCATAATGTAGTTAAATTAAGAATCTCCTTGGTCCTTTCCCTCAGTTCCCTGACCTGATCGTGAAATCCATCAGAAGAGGGGTCTGGCAGAAAATCCTGAGGCTGCCAGCTCTTCTCGACGGGTTTGAGGTGAGTCAGTATATTGTTCTCGGCCCATCCCTCCATGGATTTGAAGATCTCTATCTTTTGAGGCGGCATGGAATGAGTGACTTGAATGTGAACCTCGCGTGGGGGACTGAACGGCTTCTTGCCGGTCTCAACCTCACTGCAAAAAACAAAAAAAAAATAAAAAAAATAAAATTGCCCATTCGTATGAAGATTAATAATATGTGTGTACATTGTTATTCGAGGAAAAGAGATTTGGTTTTTATGTCAAGATTCAGAAGAATCAGTTCACAGCAGACGTGTACATCATTGCTAGACCAGAAAGACATGGAATGAAAATCCAAAATAAAAGGTCGTGTGAAGTAATGAGACTTCCAACTATATATGAGGAAAGAGTCAGAGAGGCAATGAGAAGTGTGTGTCCGAGAGAGAGAGA